CAACGGGGGGGAGATCCGCCTTGGCTGGCGTGGCAGAGGCCTGCGCATGCCCCGGGTTTGCCCCCGGCTGTGCTGTCTGGGCAGGGCAGGGCAGGCGGCTGGGCAGCACCTCAGCACGGCGCGCTGTCCCCCGCAGGAGCGGCTGGTGGTGGAGAACGCCGACTGGCTGGTGGTGGTGCCCTACTGGGCCGTGTGGCCTTTCCAGACGCTGCTCCTGCCCCGCCGTCACGTCTGCCGCCTCCAGGAGCTCAGCGACCAGGAGAGGGACAGTAAGTGACGCCCTCCCCCGCCCCAACGGCATGCTCTGCGCGGGAGGCGGGGGCTGCGTGCCACCACCCTGGCACGGTACCCAACGCCGGGAGCCAGGGCGCTGGGGTCTAGTCCTGGCAAGGAAATAAAATGCTTCCTGCCTCAGTTTCCCCTTCTGTAGGTAGGGCTGCCGCTGCCCTCTTTAATAGGCAAGTGTGGGGTGTCAGGGTTTGTAAATTTCTTTTCGTGCCCCCAAAGGCAGGGAGGCGGGGGCTGCGTGCCACCACCCTGGCACGGTACCCAACGCCGGGAGCCAGGGCGCTGGGGTCTAGTCCTGGCAAGGAAATAAAATGCTTCCTGCCTCAGTTTCCCCTTCTGTAGGTAGGGCTGCCGCTGCCCTCTTTAATAGGCAAGTGTGGGGTGTCAGGGTTTGTAAATTTCTTTTCGTGCCCCCAAAGGCAGGGGTCGAGCGTGCGGGCAGGAAGAGGCGGTTACAGAGGAGGGGGTGTGGGGCAGGAAGACGCGGTTACACTCCAGTCCCACCTGTGTGTGTTGCCAGCATGAGTGGGCGCTTACAGCATGTCGGGTGGGGCTGCAGAGCGCGCCCCTCCCTTTCCTTGCGGATTGGAGCATGCGGGGGAATAGCAGTGCCGCGTGCAGCCTGCCCTCGCTCTGCTTCAGAGTGAACGCCCACACATCCGGGGGCAGAGGGCCCCTCTCGGCTGCTTCGGGCGGCCTGGGCCCCGTGGTCCCAGCCCCTGGGGGAGCCAGTTCCTGTCCTGTCCCAACCTCCCCGGGGAGGCAGCTGGAATTGAAAAGGTCCCTGAGAAGTGCTGGGTTTGTCTCCTAGCAGCTCCCCCTCACCCCCACTTTGGCTGCTGGTGGATCCCAGGGCCCCAGCCCCCCTCTTCCCATGACGGTGACGGGATGGGGGCGAGGGGGAGGCGAATATTGACGAGGGTTTGGTGTCTGGGTCGCTTGGTAAACTGGGCACAAGCCAACAATGCAGCTAAGTGTCAGTGACCCCCGGGGAACGAAGAATGCAGCCTTAGCTACGGGGTGGGGGGCTGTCTCCTGGGAGCCGAGATTTGGGGGGCCGTGGTGAACGCGAGCTGCTCCCTGGCCGTGCAGTGGCTGGAAGGGCTAAGTGACCCTGGCCGTTGATTAACTGCAGGGGGTCAGGCAAGGTTAAAGGCGTAGCAAGGCTGCCTAGCAGCGAGAGGCCCACGGTGCCTGGCCCATGTAGCTGAACAGAGGGAAGGCGGAGGGGGGACTTGATCCGTCGGGAAGCACCCGCACAGGGAGCAAATCGGTCAGGAAGGTCTGCCGGGCTGTCCTGGCTGGAAGTGGAAGCTGGACACATTCTGCCTGGCAGTAAAGGTGTACGTTTTTAATGGTGCGAATAATGAACTCCTGGGACAATCCCCCGAGGAGCCGGGTAGCTTCTGCGTCGGTGCCGGTATTCATGTTGAGCGTGGATGAGTTCCCCGCAGCTGTGCCGTAGGGGTGGTTCCAGGGGCGGGCCGGGGCTGGGGCCGTGCAGGAGGACAGAGCAGACGATCACAGTCTGGTCTTGGACTCTGTGAACCTAACGAAACCCTGCGATGGGGCAGGGCAGTCCCTGCCCCAGTGAGTAAGGGGTCCTCCTCCAGGCAGCGTCCCCACTCACAAGGGCACTCGGGGGAAGGAGTGAGCATATGGAGCAGGGAGATGCTTGGGGCTCTACCCCAGAGGTGCCGGAGCAAGTTGAACCAGGGGGTAGGGGGACAGGAGGAGGAGGATGAGCAGCGTTCCCTGCTCAGGCAGTGCCCGAGTGAGGTGCCCTGCATCAGTCCACTCGGTGGCACGGTCCCGCTCCTTCCTTGCAAGCTCTGGTCAGCAGTGAAATAGACAATGGTACTTTGGTGGGCCACCATTAGGTTCCAGAGTTAACGATGTAGGGGGTCGATAAAGGCAAAGCGCATGGGTCTGGTTTCCATTGCAGCTCACATAGGGGCTGTGAGCCCAGCTGGCTCTGCTCCGGGGCGGGCGCCGGGCTGAGGGGTCAGGCTGCTGGCAGCGCTGGCTCCCAACCCGATCTCTGGAGGTTTCCATTGCAGCTCACATAGGGGCTGTGAGCCCAGCTGGCTCTGCTCCGGGGCGGGCGCCGGGCTGAGGGGTCAGGCTGCTGGCAGCGCTGGCTCCCAACCCGATCTCTGGAGGGGAGGTCCTCGCCGGCGGGGCTGCTGCCTCGGGGGAGGGGAGCGGCTCTGCCAGTGCCCGGTGGTGACCCCCGGGGGCTGGGAAAGGCTGGCGCTCCGGCCGACGGCCGCTTGCTGTGCGGTTGCAGGTCTGGCGTCCATCATGAAAAGGCTGCTCACCAAGTACGACAATCTCTTCGAGGTCTCCTTCCCCTACTCCATGGGCTGGCACGGTAAGTGGAGGGGCCCGTGG